ACTTTGGCAATGTTTTATAAATGTCGATAAAAAAGTATTGTGAAATGACCATTAACTGTTATGTTATGCGACTAAAACTTAACCTTTTGCCTCTGTTTTTGCGATATATGGGCATTTTTGTGAAATTTACGTGTTTCCATTAGGTGTATTTTCAATTTGCAATTTCAATTTGCGAAATTTGAAGGGCAATGGAAACGCACCTATTTTTCACAATACAACCGAAGCACATGCTGCTGAGCTGAGGGGTGGGACGCTTAGGCGCGCACTAGAGGCGGTTTAGCCAATCACAACACACTGTCCTAGCTAACCAATCTGAGCCCATCATGTATTTCTGAGGGAGGGGCTTTATAAAACCAGCAAATGATCAGCGAGTTTATGGCATAAGGGACAGAGCGGTGTAGAATAAAGGTAAATTATCTGAAAAACGAAGCATTAACACATGTTAGACTGCACCCCATAAACACAATCAAGCCTAAAAAAACAGTCAACCACCCCTTTAAAACCAAACAACGGTTCATTACATTCACCTGAGTTTCTCCAATGTGCATTTTTTATTTTCTAATCCGTTCTGGAGTTTCTTCACTCCTGAATCCTGCAGATTATTGTTGCTGATGTCAAGTTCTTTCAGACTGGAGTTTGATCTCAGGACTGTAGCGAGATCTGAACAGCTTTCCTCTGTTAGACCACAATCACGCAGCCTAAAATGAATTTACAAATACAAAGTATGGTAACACTTCACAATAAGTTTCCATTAGTTAATGTTAATGTATTAACAAAGAAAAAAGAACAATACATTACAGTATTTATTAATCTTTAACAATGTTAGTTAATGAAAATAGAGCTGTTCTCTGTTAGGTTATGTTAATTCACAGAGCATTAACTAATGTTAACAAGCACAACTTTTGATTTTAATAATGAGAACCTTTAGTTTACAGTTACTGAAAGGGGTCGTGAACTGAGAAATTAAATTTCCCTTGATCTTTTGACATGTAACAGGTCAACGTACTATAAAAACATCCTGTAAATGTCAGAACTGAAAACTTTCCTCTTAGTTTACAGCTTTTATTGAAACCAAACTCGTTTTGGAATGTCACATTATGATAGTTTGCTGAAGATCAACGCCTGTTTCTATATTATTACCTCTTTAGCCCTGACCACTGATTCACACATGTAATAGGAGGAGAGGAAATACTTGAGAAACACCGGATTACTCCATCAACAAAACCATAGAGATGCCTCCGAGGATTACAAGATGCTGTGTAGTGTAAGTTGTGAAAAATCTTTGCATTGCCTTCCTTGTGATCCTAACATCGTATCTAAACAGGTCACGAACATTGTGGCGTTGCGAATCCATTTCTCTTTCATGTCAGAAGCAGCGCCAGCACTTGGAGCACATCAGAAATAGATCGGGATATCAGTTTACTCTCAGAGATATGTCATGTCAATCTGTTCCACATCCAGTGTAGTCATATATCGGGCCGCAGGGGTGGCCTTGCTACTGTTTTTAAACATACTTTTCACTGTCGTTCTCTATCTACTGGCTCATACAACAGTTTTGAGGTGCAACTTTTACAGTTAGCCTTAGTAATCCACATCACTACAGCTCTAATACATCATCCTCCTCACCATAATAAGGACTTTATTATTTATAAGGTTCTGCAGAGAGTGTCACTACTGAAACTGCACATACTCCGAGATGGACTTGTAGACAGGCTGAACGCAAATTGAAGAAGGACAGATTGCAGATTTTGAGGAAATCCTATAACATGTTTCAGAAAGCTGCAAAATGCAATATTTGTCTGAACTTATCACAAACAATTGTCACAAACCTCAAGTTCTTTTTTCTACAATTAATTCTGTCTTAAATCCCTCTGTGCATTCTTTTCTAGAGCCCTCTGCTTCTCTCTGTAATGGTTTTGGAAAGTTTTTTGAGAAGATCACAAAATCAAGATCCCAGCTGTCTAACTTAATATACATTTTGCATGATGTTCCATTATGTTCTTCTACCTGGTCTGAGTTTGAACCTATTGATTTGACCTCATGTAATGAAACTGTTGGTCACCTAAAACCAACAAACTGTCCTCAGGATATTATTCCATCTCTTTTCCTTAGAAAAATCATGGACACAGTTGAACCTGTCTGTTATTTGTTTTTAACAAATGTTTGTGTACTGGTTCCTTCCCTAACAGTCTTAAATGTCCTGTGGGGATGCCATATCTTAAAAAAATCAAACCTGGATCGTTCTTCTCTTTCCAATTTTCATCCAATTTCTAATCTACCCTTTATCTCAAAGATCCTTGAGAAAGTTGTATTGACTCAATTACAATCTTATTTGGCTGTTAGTTCTGTTCATGAGATGTTTCAATCTGGCTTCAAAGCTTTACACAGTACTGAATCTGCCCTTGAGTCTCAAGTGATATTTTTACAGAAACTGATTCTGGGAAATTCATGGCTTTAGTTTTATTAGATCTGAGTGCTGCCTTTGATTTGGTTGACCATGAGGTCCTGTTGACACGTTTGGAGACATCTGTGGGCCTTCGTGGCACAGTCTTACAAGTGGTTCCGTTCTTATCTGAACAACAGATGTTTTAGTGTTTGCATTGGTCATCAGACCTCCTCTTGTATACATCTTATTTGTGGAGTTCCACAGGGATCAATCTTTGGACCGGTATTGTTCACCCTGTACATGTTACCTCTGGCTTCCATTTTTTAACAAATATAAAAGTATCCTTTCATCTATATGCTGATGATTTTTTTATTTAAATGAAAATAAAACCAAAATAATTATTTTTGGCAATAAGGAAAATTGTGTGTTAAATGTTGACTGTGGCTCTCTGGCTCCACATGTAGCTCAATATGCTAGAAATCTGGGCGTTCTGTTTGATCATAACTTAAAATTTGACAAACACATCAGTGCTGTTGTAAAATCATGCTTTTATCATCTCCATCAACTTTCTAAAATGAAACCTTTCTTATCACCAAGTAAATTCCAAACAGTGGTTCATGCTTTTGTAACAACTCATTTAGACTATTGATATTCACTTTATTACAGTATTTCTCAGTTTTTCCTCTCTCGTCTACAGCTAGTGCAAAACACAGCTGCTAGACTACTCTCTGCACCTGCAAGTATGAGCCAGTAACTCCTATTTTATCTGCACTGCACTGGTTACTTATCAAATATAGAATTTACTTTAAAATTATGTTATTTGTTTATAAAGCCCAAAATAATTTGGCCCCTCAGTACCTGACTGACCCTCTTCATCCGTACACCTCTTCTAGAACATTGAGATCCAGTGATCTCGGTCTACTCATCGTGCCTAGATCTAGACTTAAATGAGGTGATCGAGATTTTGCAACTGCAGGTCAGATACTCTAGAACGGTCTACCTCTTCATATTAGATTAGCCCCCTCTATTTCTGCTTTTAAGTCTGCTCTAAAGACATATCTATTCTCTCTAGCTTTCAATACCCCTTGATCTTTGGTTTAATTGTTGTGTTTTAAATTTGATAGTCTTGTTTTATTCATTTTATTTCTGAATTTGTATTCTATTCTGTACAGCACTTCAGTTAACTTTGGTTGTTTTTAAATGTGCTTTACAAATAAATATTGTATTGTATTGTATTAATATGCAAAACTGTCAGTCAATCATAGCAGTGGGCGTTCACTTCAGCATCTTGAATGTGCCTCGTCTATAAAAAAAGACTGTTCTGCAGAGAGGGTCAAAACCTGGATACAAAATAGCATCTAAATTATGATGTTTTTTGATGTAAAAATCTTGCTAACATTATAGGTGCATCGCATAGAACATTATAAAATAATAAAAAATGCAGTACATGACCCCTTTAAGGTTTCAATTATCTAAAACTCAACGGGTGTGAAAGTCTTTCGTCTAAACGATCCACAACATACAAACAATATCAAAATGGTTGAAAAACAAGAAAATTTCAGTTTTGAAATGGTCTAACATAAGTCCACTCTTAAACCACATTGAAATGCTGTGGTAGGACCTTAAATGTAGAGTTCATGCTTGAATTAAACCCTACAAATTTCACTGAGCTGAAGCAGTTCTGTCCTCAATTCTGTGGCAGATTATCTAGGTCCATGTTTACAGATGGATCTGAATTCTAACCAAACACTAGGGATTGTCACAAAACTTACCTCAGTATCTCTAATTTGCTATTTATATTCTTCAGTCCAGTGCAGAGCAGCTTCACTCCTGAATCCTGCAGATTATTATTGTTCATATTCAGCTCTTTCAGATTGGTTTCTGATCCAAGAACTGTAGCCAGAGCTGGACAGCTTTTGTCTGTTAAGTCACAATCATTTAGCCTACAAGATCAATATATCAAATCACAGAGTTATATACATGTAATATATTTGTTAAATACAAAAAAATTATTACACCAATTATTTTTACATGAACAGTAAATATACTGCATATATATTAGATATGTATTGATTCAAGTTTCCTAGATAAAACAAACTAGCATGCTTGAATAAAACTTAGAATTATATCATTAATGGCAATGAGTTATACATTTAAAAGTCCTGCTCTATTATCTTGATGAGTGTCTTGAGGTGGAGAATCTGGAGGTTAATAATTTATGCATTGAGGTAATGCAATAGTATATCTCCTTTGTAGCAAAAGTTTAAGAAGTTGAACTGCATATTAGAGTAGAAATAACTATGGAACAATATGTTTCATAATAACATGATGTGCTTCTTCTGGAGCTAACTAAGCAGCTTGTTTTGCTGAAAAGAGAAATTTCTACACAAATCCCATGTAAATCTAATACAATACCATTGCACTTTAATTCCAAAGGATTGGCATTTTTAACGCAAAAATATTTTTAAAAAAGTTAAACAAAATGTGTTATGATTTAATTATAACTGGTATATGGTTAATAATCACTATATATCAGGGGTGCCTAAACCTGCTATGCATCAATGTAGATAAATGCAATTTTAAGAACAAAACATGACAAAATATATGAAATAACTTACAGAGCTCTTTTGGAGGTTTTGATGACTGCCGATAATCTAATGAGACAATCGTCTGATTTCTTGAATTTCTGAAGCTCAAACTCCTCCAGCTCCTCCTCTGATGTCAACAACACAAAGACCAAAGCAGACCACTGGGCAGGTGAAAGATCAGCAGATGAGAGGCTTCCTTTGCTAAGGTGGGTCTGAATGTCTTTCACCAGAGTTTGGTCGTTCAGTTCATTCAGACAGTAGAACAGATTGATGGATCTCTCTGGAGACAGATT